TTCCCCTATGGCAGTGATTTTCATCTAATTAACATAGGAACTCAGAGTTGGTCAATAGAACTGGCAAGGTCGGCCTTCAATTGTGATGCTCAAGCCTAGGTGAGCAGACACCCACACTAAGGATACACTGTTCCTGTCTGGGGGTGCACCAGCCCACTGCTCCCAAGTCAACAAGGATCACCACCTCAGCACATCAACAAATCAAAGGAGCAAAGTCTAAAAGGGAACACTATTTGTAGGAAAGAAAAGCAGGGGGTAGAAAGCTACCCAGAAAGATGAATCCCCGTGGGCCTTTTGTTCTCAACTTACCACGTTTGGGGGAACATGCCCTCTCCTGGGTCCACACAATCTGACTGGTTCTCTGGACTATCACAGCCAGATTCCAAGACCCAAACCAGCCAGCAACATTGCCTCACCTGCTTGTCCTCGTCAGGTCTGAGATTTATAGGTTGGGTATGAGGCCTTACGTACAAGTCTGTCAGTGATTAAGGGCATGTGCACAGTAATATAGTGACCCTAATAGAGAAATCTCTCCACACAATGTAAAGATGTGTACTTTATACGCTAGGTGTTTTTAAGTGACCATGCCTTCTAATTCATGCTCCATGCTATTAGCCCTCCTTTGTCCTAACTGCTCCCCAGTGAAGCTTTCTCCTTAGGTTAGCCAGAAAACCTGGCCTTTCCCTGGCTACACAGCCCCTTTCTTGGCCCTACATTGTCTTTGCTTTTCCAATGGCCCTTTCCTGATACTCTCAAGCCTTTAATCATATCATTATACATCCATTAATTGAGTCACTCTCAGACCAAGACGAGATAGTTAGGTCACAATGCTAAGTTGTATCTTGTTAGGTAGCTTACCTGAATCAGATACAGATTAAGCAGATTCAGGGTCAACATAGTGGGTAGACTGACCAAAAAAGGCCCAGAAAGATGGGGGCAACGATTCAGGAAAATGTCCAATAGACCAAACAGACCTTTCTTTGAAATATTAACTTCTGGTTTTATTAACACTGTATGGTTTGTCAAAACTTGACACTATTAGTGTGTAATTATATACAACACAAAAGTGAACAGGTACACATAAAAGTCAAAGAACAGATTTGGTTGAGTTTGTCAATCTCTAAGAAGTCAGTAACTATTGGGGGCAGAATGGAAAGGTGAACTGTTACATCCAGATAAATCCATGCTGCTTCTGGCATCTATCATAATGGTGAAGTTTTTTCTAGATAACCAGGAGCATACCAAGTGCTAGGGATCAGATTGTGACCAGGTAATTTAACCAGACTTGAATAAATCAAACTTGTGAAATGAATGCAAAGATCCCTTCTTTTTCTTAGTTAACACCTTTGGAAATGTGCTTTAATATACAACAGATGCTCTTTGACTTATCTTGACAACCCTATTGAAAAATGAATATTGTTAAAAGTGCATCTAATGCAGGTTGAACAGTACACTGGTTGTTTACCCCTGCAATCACTTTCTGGCTATTGAATTGTGCTGCTGGACTGTCATACTGCTAATTCTGGGGAAAGAAAATTTCAAACCTATACCACTTTCACACACTGTAAACTGAGAACTGTACTTTAAATGGAGTGCCAGGGACTTAGCTCAGTGACTCCGAGTTTGATCCCCAGTACCAAAAAAAGGAGGGGAAGAGTCCAAAATAGCTCCTTGGCTTGTATACAAAGTTGCACATACTTGAACTAAACCACTGGTTGTTGTCAAGTTCCATCAAGTATACTGTAATGGGAACTAGTGCCAGAATACAACTGGACCAGTTAAGTTTCCTGAAGCGTGCTCCCATTCTAACTTAAAATCACAATGGGGTGTTGTTACCATATATTCCTTTATAATCACAAGACAGTATGCAGTATTCTTGGATTAAGTATAGCTGGGCATGGTGGTGCACACCTGTTATCCCAGCACTCACATCGATGTGAGCTTGAGACAAGCCTGGGCTACAACATAGTGAGATGTCTCAAAAAACCAAAGTATGACTAGTGTCTTTGGTTGCATTACCACAGCTGCCTCAATGGACTGAATTGATGTAAAAAATTACTTTGTATGTCATTTAAACTTTGGTGCCCATATTTTTATGAGCTTGCCTGTTTGTTGCATGTCACGCAGCACCAACTTTTTATTTTATCACACCAAGTAAATGAACTCATGAAAAAGGACTGTTTGGGCCACGTTGTCACTTTGTATGAGGTGTGCACATACAGATTTGAGGAAATGGTGGAAAAATACTCACTGGCAGTTGTTACTTCATGGATTGCTGTTCCAGAAGGTAGCACTAATGGAAAAAGCCTTGTCACTATCCTGACTACTGAAGCCACTTCAGCCAACTCTATCACTTCCATAGTAAATGTAAAGCAAATGCACACTTTTGTAAAGTGTAAAAAAGTTCAGGCCATTCACTGTTTAACCTTAACATGCAATCTTCCTCATTGTAGTAATCCTATAATTTGCTCTCAGATGTCTGGGAGTAGACTTGCTATTTAAGATTAGGAATTAGAATGTATCCCTTGGTGTTTATGTACCAATGTTATCTGATATGTACTCCAATTTCAGTAAATGTTAAGTTCAGGTATGTATCCGGCCTGTGTAAACATCCTATTCTAGTTGTAGCTGGGCACTGCACATGCCCAACCCCACACTGCCACAAAATCCTGGAATTTCAATTGCTTAAAGTTTAAAAAAATCATCAGATGAAGGTTCTTACAAGATTGTAAGCTCTTACCTAACGGCTGGGTGGGGTGGTGGTGGTTATTGCAAAGGTATAGTGGTAACTACAAAAGAATGTAGACTGTATACACTGGTTAAAAACATTGGTTTTAAAAAAACAACACCGGATTTACAGGCTGGCCTGAGCTCAACTACAGCCAAATAAGCATAGATTAGAAAAGATGGGTATTACACCACAGATGTGAAAACTAAGTAAAATAAAGTTGGGTCTTGCCATGTTGCCCAGGAGGCTGGCCCTCCTGTTCAGATTCTGTTTCCTGAGCAGCTCTGATTGCCAGTCCATGCTACAATTTACCTACTGAATCTTAACCTTGAACTCTCGTAAGTGGCAGAAGCAAGACTGAAAATGAAACTCATCTGTAAATGCAAAGTCTAAATAGGACCTGGGTTATTAAAACTGATCTGATCGGCCTCAACACCTTCATGGAATGCATCAATTAGAAGTAGTTATTTCCCAGGCCAGAGATTTAGCTCAGTGGTTCTGGTGCCTGCCTCGCAAGTTCAAGGAGCCAATACTAAAAACCAAACCAAAACAAAACAAAATGTAATTATTTACCAGTGTGTTCTGGATCCTGGGCCAATCAGAAGGCTGGAGCATCATTTTCTGTCTGATTATCCCAGGACTCACTCTCAGGCAATAAAGGGGAAGTTTAGTGAAACCTACATCAGACGCGAACTGTTCTCATATCCAATACCTAGGTGTTGGGCTGGGAATTTAGCTCATTGGTTCTGCTGCCTGCTTCACAAGCGTAAGGTCCTGAGGGAAAAACATCTGAGTAGTTACCTCTTGACTGGTTTAAGAATGGATCTAGAAAAATCCATCAGGCACATGATTATAGTTACAACCTGCAGAATTAGAATGCTAAGTAAATTAAAATTACCAATAAATCCAGGCAGACATTTCTAAAAAACACACCACTCAGTTTTACAACTGAAGACCTGAAAATACTGCTTAACCAAACTAGAGGAAGAATGACACAACTAATAACATTGTGGGGGCTGGAAGTGCTGCTCAGTGATAAAGCGTGTGCAATAAAAATGAAGACCCTGGTTTTAAACCCTATCGGACATCCCCAAAACCACACAGAATTCTAAACCAAAATTCTTTGACATCTGGTTTTGAAAATAATCTACAAGTAAAGGAACTAATTCTAAAAACAAGCACTTCAGCTCTCTTCAGACAAATGTGGTAGCTAGGACTTAGCATAACTCCACCCCAACAAAGAGATGGTCATTCCATTTACCTACTTACCCAATCTCTATAAACTTTTGATGAGTATAAATTTTATATCTTTCTTTAAAAATAGTACAAAGCATACAAATCAACCCAAGAAATATGCTGTCAGGGACTAAGCTAATTATAACAAGGTTAGAAGAAAAGCAACACTTTTTTGTAAACGGAGTTGTACCAGCAATTTTTCTCTTCATTTTCTTTTATTTAACACAGTTCTCAAAACATTTGAGTGAAATTGGGCCTCCTTTGATAAGCAAAGGACCTGAAAATAATATTTAAAAAATGAACAGGCAGTCTTCGGTTCATCCATTGACACAGGTGTAATGTTCCCTTCTCTTATCCTGTACTGTGAAGCACCCAGGTTTTTTTAAATGGTCTAAAAGCTAGAAGAACAAGAGTACATTTGTGGTGGAATGTATTATCATTTGCTCATAACTAGTTGAAATACCATTATCCCCTTTTAACAGGTTTAAGAAACAGCCTTAAGGCATACACAATGTGTAACTCTTCTTATTCCCTGCTATACATAATATAGATTTACATAAAGGCTGACAAATCCACATTTATATAAGCATTAAGCATTTGCTGTATTGAAAAACTTAGTTCTAATACTAGCAGTACAGAGTTACAAAGCATATTTTTAACACTTAGTTGCAGGTATATTAAATACGGTGTTTCATAGACTGGAGGAAAACGGGTATTTTCACCTTTGAATTTACTGATAACAAATTTGAATAGTTCTAAGCATCAATGTTCGAATGGAAAATAACTAAAACGGTGTTTATTGTTGCTTTTTGCCATTTGGTAGCATTTTACACACAGGCTTTGATCTTCAGATTACCCTGGATTCAGTAGAAAAACCTTTTAAATGAAGTTTTTGTACAATAGAAACTTCTCAGCAGTCAAAATTTAGACTGTAAAAAAATACATGCAAAACATACTTTTCTGAAAACACTTAACTTTGAACAAAGCACCAAACTACACAAATGCAGAATGAAAAGCATTTCAACTTTCAACTCCACCAAAAGTAGTCATCATAAAAGGTGTAAAAGTCACCTAACTTCACTAGGCACTGTTCACTTTTTAAACAGACAATAAAAATATTGTCCACAAACAATATCCCAGCCAGCTCTATGGCAGGTTTCAGAAAGTCTTCATCTTCATGCTTTAGTAGCGACCTGTGAAGAGAAAAAGCGTATGTCAATGCTAAAAAATAAATGATTATCAAGTACGTGCTATTCTACCATTAGGAAGCTACAATGAGCTGAAGTTCTTCAATAAGACTTTCACACAAATATTAACACCAGGAATGACATAATAATCTTAAATAATAGAGATAGCTAAAGATTTTAACTCAATCTGAGGTTTTTGGTTTTTTTTTAGTACAGGGGATTGAACTCAAAACCTTGAGCCTGCGAGGCAAGTGCGGTGCCACTGTGCTAAATAACTGGCTCTGAGTAACGTTTTAAATCACCTGCATATTTAAAAAATTGTTCAAAATTTGCAAGCCACCTAAAAAAGCTGTAATAGTGATGATAGAAGTCTTAATATTACAATATATACTCAAAATCATATCAAGATTAAAAACTTACGAGGTGAGTAGGATCGAGATCTGGAGCGTGATCTGTATCCTCCACGACTATAGTAAGGAGAAGGTGACCTCCTTCTGTTTAAAACAAAAACAAACACAAAAAAAGGGAAAAAAGGAAAAATAAAGAAAGCAGTCAAGATGATAACTCTGTGCTAAATGACATAAAGACTATCAACCAACCCTTTTATCAGTTCCCAGAACAGAAGGCCCCAATAAACATTTTAAAGTTTTGCAGTAGGCATGGGGGAATTGGGAAGTGTTGAGAACAAAGCACATTATTAAGCCAAAGTACCCATTATCAGTGAATTTAAGTGTTCTCTCACCTATCTTAAATTTATAAAAGGATAGCCACATTAATTTCCATAAACACTGCAAATCCCTTCAGTGTCATAGTGTCAGCTGAGAGTATGTTCGAGTTTCAAGAAATGCAATTTTGTGTGAAACAACTTTCAATTACCAAAATATTACTAGGCAACATCTTTGTCAACTCTCTACCCATTTATTCCAGATTTTAAATCTTCTCCCATCATACCTGTAAATTTGATCCCTGTCTTGAGCAGCTCTCCATCCACCTCCTCCACCACCACCTCCTCTACAAAAAACAGAAAAGCAAAATTTAGTTTTGTTTAATCTCCCACAAAATACAGGAAAGACCCTATTTCTTTCAGGTAAATTGATAAAAGCCATTTCTATAGCCCATTAGGAAATGGCAAAGAAGGTTGGGAATTTAGCTCAGTGATACTGCTGCCTGTCTCACAAATATAAAAGTCCCGAGTTAGATCCCCATGGTTAAAAAAAGAAAAGAAAAAAAAAAAAAAAAAAGCCAGGCGTGGTAGCGTATGCCTATAATCCCAGCACTCGGGAGGCTGAGGCAGGAGGATTGCCGAGTTCAAGATCAGCCTCAACTACATAGTGAGACCGTCTCAAAAACCAAAAAAAAAGGCATAGAGCTCTCCCTGGTGGCTAAATGAAGCAGCACCAGAACACAAAACATTTCCAAATAAATGCGTACATGGATTAAGAATAAAGACCTTAACTCTGTTGGCCTTCATTATCAGTGGTGTTTTATACAATAATTCAAAGATAAGTGACACAAATCATCCATTTAAAAAAACTTTTAATTTCCCTAGCACACCCCACTAAATGTTCTAAGTTATAGATTTTTAAAAAACCTCTTACCACCTTTATAGTACGTGTCTTTTGAGAAATTCAGCTCAGTGTTGAAACTACCTCCGTGTCAATGTATTAGGTTACTAAATATTCCTATTTATATTTCAGAATAACTGCTACCAGGAATCTATTCCAAGTTAGCTGAGCATGGTGGTACATGCCTGTAATTCCAGCACTAGGGAGGCTGAGGCAGGACTGCCTTGAGTTCAAGGCTAACTGAACTACATAGTGAGAGACCTTGTCTCAAACAAACAAACCCAATGCAAAGCAACACCTCACCAAAAGCTGTAACAAGTTAAAAGATATAACCCTAAAATTTGGTTTCAACCTCAGCTAATTCCTATTATGAAAACTGGGAATGTAGCTCAACAGTACTTGCAAGGGCCTAAAGTTCAATCCCCAGAACCAGCCATGTCCATGTGTACAAGTACACACTATAATTTTATTTTTAAGGGGTTCCTTAGGCACATTAAGCAGGTACTCTACCATGATATGATATATCCCTCACAGAACAAGTTTATTTTACTTTTGGTACAAAGGATCAAACTCAGGATATCACAAATACCAGGCAGGCACTGTGCTACTTGCTGATCTATATCCCCAGCCCAAAAATCTTAACTCAGACAAGACTGAGCACGTTCAGACTGCTGTGCCATAGACCCAAGAAGCTTTTTTTAAAGGTCAAAGCTTGAATATAGTGCTAATTATAGTGACCCTTCTATGTGTGGTAACTCACCTGTACGATCTGCTGTAGTAGTCCCGATCATCATAGCCACGGTCATATCCTCTGTCATAGTAATCCCGACGGCGTGAACTGCCACTACAAATAACATCACTTTCTTTTAAAATTCAAAGGATATTTCCTATCTTCCTGGATAACAGGAAGAAGTACCCAAGGAACTGTTCCTTGGGTGACAGCTATAATAAAGGAGTTCTCTTTTCTACTCCAGTACAGTAAAGCATGTGTTTTCTACCATTTTAACAGAACATTTTTATTGCATATTTTGCTGAACAAGTTTAGCCAGTTCAACAGGGGAAAAAAAAATAGTAAAACAATTTCTTAGAGAAAGCAAACAAACTAAACTGGGTATTGTACCTTTAACATTGGAAATAAACTTACTATGTAGGTCTCCCCATGTAAATTCCTGGTGTTGGGGTATGTGGTCTTTTTGTTATAGAGAAATCAACTCTGATCCTACGCCCATCAAGTTCCATTCCATTGGCACGTTCTTTAGCCTTCAAAAGACACACAGTAAGTCGTTACATACAGCCCATCCTTGAGAAATTATGTCACTAATTATTGTGTACTGGCCAACTGGACATTTTGGGTATATTATTTTAAGATCTACCTACCACTTATAAACAAATCAGTTCTTTTTCTTTAATTGTCAACAGAACTTAAGTTTATCCTTGAGTCTGACAGTATTTCTAGGTTAAAAGCAATTCATAGCAACTTATAATCTGCAGCCAAATCTGGTCATCAGACTATTTCTGAATGACCCATAAATTAAGAATGCAGTAACTAACACCACTGAGAATTCTATAAGTAATACTGATTGAGCCCAGTTCCCCCTTCCTTTCCTTATGGCTACTACGTGGGCAACAATGGCAAATAAAGAGCCTGATGTATTTATTATTCAATCCTTAAATTGTTGGGCTGGGGATTTAGCTCAGTGGTTTGGTGGCCTGCCATGCAAGCTCAAGGACCCGAGTTCAATCCCCGGTACCAACCAAATAAACAAACACAATGCTATTGTCTGTTGAGTCCTGCTCTGGAAAACAAAAGCTGGGATGAAAACATCAGGAAGCTTTAATTACACAGCTTTTATCTAGAATATACACTGACTCAAAAATCACACACACATTTTTCCCCCCCTAGTAACAGGGATTGAACTCAGGTCCTTGCACTTTAAAGGCAGGTGGCAGAACCACTGAGCTAAATAAATCCCCAGCCCAAAAGTCATACATTTAAAAAAAGAATATACCGTTCCAAAGCCTGAGGTTTATTTACAATTTATTTTGAAGAATACTTTTAACTGTACAGAATTACGCTTCTAATTCCAATGTTTTTAACCTTTTAAAATGCTCAAAGCTAGTTAGTGCGTGTTTTTAGTTTCTGGCACTACAGATTCAAATAATTTGCTCTTTTTCAGAGAGCTCTGACTTACAGCAACGTGAATGAGGCACTCTAGAAGTCAGTCACCTTGAGCAAATCCTAATTATACCCAAAGGATATCTGAAAAGTCCTTTTCCAATCTTGCAAAATTCAAACTCATCAATTATAATTAGTTGCATCTAGCATTTTGTTCCTTTAGATCCAAGTTATTCCCTTTTATTACTTCCCTTGAAGATGACACCAGCAACCATTTTCATTTAAAGCCTAAAATGTAAATGCTGTGTTGTGTATCTGAATTTCTTAAATGGCACACATAAGTTTTCACTCCTCATACCTCAAATCCAAACTGAAATTCCAAGAGTTAAACCACTCATCGGCCAATGTATACTTTCCAAGAACCAGTTCAGTTTTTCTGAGTCGTAATATCATTTTTGATTATTTTCCATTATAGAAAATAACTTCATGTAATGATTAGATATCCTAAATCAAATTACTTTCATGTTTTATTCATGCCAAAACAAAAGCTGTATATTTTATTTCAAAATGGTGAAGAAATGAAATGGAGCACAGCTGGTTTTTGTCTATCAGCTAGTGAAAAAACTCAACTGCTTTAAGTCATACTTTTCTGTTATTCTGCATAGATTAAAAACTTTTCCACAATAAGATGCCCCCCACCACCACAGGGAGGCTACTCAAAACCAAAAACCCAGGTTCAAAGTATTGAATTTAGCTCAAACTAGTTACATATCCTATTTATACCATAAAAACTGAAATTGTCCTATCTAAACATTGGGTCATTAGTACTTGGACTTAAAACTGGTGCTTTAAAACTGTATAAATGAATTTTACTTACTTCCTTGGCATCATCCACATTTTCAAAATACACAAAGGCAAATCCTCTGGAGCGCCTAGACTGCTGGTCATATACAATAGACACATCAGCAATGGGGCCGTATTTAGAGAATACTTCTCTTAAATCTCTTTCTGTGGTGTACAAGCTCAACCCAAACACTCCAAGACAACAGTTTGGGTCAGGATTTGCCTAGAAGCAGAAAAATATTTCAAACATTCATTCACAATAAAAATACATTAATGATTACACCAAGAAATTACAAAACATATTGAGTATTGTAAACTTTAAGAATGAGCAGAAAAGACAACAAACAGACTAAATCCAACTTAGAACTAACTAATTCAAAGGTGAGAAATTAAGCCTCACATTGGTGAAAAAGCAAACTTTGCATCCCATTTAATCAATCTTAAAATTAACATCCACTGTAAGCATGAATAATGATAATCAGAACAGCACTGTTCCATCATCTAGAACAAATGTTTAATATTAAAGAAAAACGTTCCAAGTCCGCCAGCGGATGCCAGAAACCATGCTCAGTACACAATTGTACACAGTAGTCCCTCTGTATTCATAGGAGATTGGTTCTAGGACCCCCTGTAAATACTAAAACTTGCTTAAATCTTTTATGTGTAACATATATATATTTCTGTACACATCATTACTGCAAGGTAAAATGGCAGTGTGTAGCATGCACATGGCCCTAAGGTTCAATTCTCACTGCCATGAAGTTAACAGTCAAAGGAAACAATTACTACATTACTTACAATGCCTACTTCAATGTAATGCTACATAGTGAAAAAGATGGTATTTAAAATACACTGAATGATGAATGGGATTTCGTTAGCTGGGGATGGAAAAGAAATGCCATTATAGGATGACAGAAGAAAATGAGTTCTGTATCTGGGTTCTGTACCCAAGGAGTCAACTAACCTCAGATGGAAAATATTTGGGAGGAAGAAATCCCATCTGTACTGAACAGAGACTTCCTGCCATCATTTCCTGAACAATATAGTATGCACAACAATTTATGTAGCATTTTCATCACATTGGTTATTTTAAATAATCATACTAATGACAAAAATTTACAAATTAAGCACAGTAAGATTAACAATAGAATTTACACAAATGTGGCCAATAGCTACTAAGTGACCTACAGGGTAAAGGTAGCAACATGGTGTGGATTAGCTAATCAAAAGGGATGATTAATGTCTTTCCCAGCATGGCCCATGATTTCATCATGCTACTAGGAACTAAGATTCATAATTTGTACTGAGGAATTTTCTACCTAATGATTTTGAATGGCAAGTGTTTGAAATTACTGTTAAAACAGGGCCACTGTAGAAAACAAGTGTTCATATATGCACACAAATAACCCAATAGGATGTATATACCAAGACTTTTAACAAGTATTAAGTAGTTTGCAATGATGCAATTGAAACTCCACATCATTAGCATTCCAGTTTCCATAATGAATTTACCTAGTTTCCATATGTTATACACTTAATTTAGTAGAGAAAATTGCACATACTTTAAATTCTCCCCATAAAATCTATAATGAAATCCCAATATAAACACGTAACAGTACTACACCATCTTGTTGAGCACTCTCATGAAATAAGTCTTAATATCTGAAATACATTATCTTAAAGTTAAATGGGAAAATTAGCAGAGCATCTCATGTTTATGAAAAATTCAGAAGGTATAGAGATAAAACATACTAATGCACTAAAATTGAAATAGCAATGCACAATAGGGTTTTAAAATTTGATGGCTCAAATTGACCAGTGTTATCAATATGTCAAGGGATAGCCTAAAATGTACAGTTACATGGGAAATTAACTTTTACACAAACTACCACAAAACACCAAAGAATTGGGTGCAGCACCACATACCTGTAATCTTGTATTCCCAGGGGTCTGGGAGACTCAGGCAAGAATATTGCCCAAATTTGAGCCCAGCCCAGGTAATTTGACAAGATTGTCTCAAAACAGTATTTTTAAAAAGGCAGGCATACAGCTCAGTGCAATGAACCCATGTTCAATTCCCAGAAGCAAGGGGAGCAGAGGGTTTTAAATAAATTATATAGGGTCAACTCATTAATCCTCCGCCATCTTACCCGATTCCCAACATGACGCCTTCGAGTAGACATGGGGGAATGGCTGTGGCTGTGGCGTCTGCGATAATCTCGACTGTAAGACCTGCTACGAGAACGTCTATGAGAACGAGATCGAGATCTTGACCTTGTATAATGCCTTCGAGAGCTTCTTCTGGATCTAGACCTGTAAGACAAAGGCTTCACTAATAAGACCAACTGAAATACATATGAATTTCCAATTCTTACTACTCAAAGAGTTTCATTCCAAAACAAAGGACAAAAACCAGGCATATGTTAACATGGTTACCAATTAAGTGGGATCATTAATTTTTATCTATATATAATCATTTTCAGTTTAAAAAACCACAATCTCTCCAATGTTACTTCAAATTAACATGAAGATCTTTAAAAAGCCAAATCATGCGACATAATTATGCTATTAGCTTTGCTAATATCCATTTTTCACTTTCAGAGTATCACCCTCTGTTTTTGTTTCTCCCACGATGACCACCATTCATTTAATAAAATTAAATCACAAGTAGTCTGTCCCAGTTTATTTTTTAAAATCAATGCATGGTTCTAGAGTATAACAGTGACATAGAAAGAGGTCATCATCTAACAAAAGAGGTGCTATTAATTATGCTAGACAACAGGCATAAACTGGGGACTGTCCCACGCAAACCAGTATGTAGAGCCTTTTCTTTGCTATTAAAGTGTACACTGCAATATTAATACACACATGTATATAACACAACAGACTACACCTACTTATCAAGAATTAGTTACTGAAAGTCAGTGTTCTATAGTATATCTGTCAAACTGATAAGCAATTTACTTATCCTCAGTGAATCCTCACATTTTTTGAAAAAATGGTACTATTACTAACTCTCCTTTTATAGCTAAGAAGCAAAAGTTGGAAAGCTTAACTAATGTGCCCAAGAGAGAAAAATAAGATTTGAACTCTTGACTCCAAAAGCTGAGGCTTAATAACTTACATCATCTTTCCTAGAACTTTGTTCATTTCTAGTACTATATTAAATAAGCCAACAAATGTCTAACCCTCTCTACTTTCCTTGTGTCCAATTTCAGAGCTATCAAAAACAGAAGAAAATCTCAAGGCAGTCTTTCTTACCTAGATTCAGATCTGGACCTGGACTTTGATCTGGAACGCCTGGAATCTTCCTTGGAGCGAGACCTTGCAGGGGTATGCCTTGCAGATTTCCCCGATCCGTGAGCACTTCCACTTCTGGAAGCAGAACGGGATTCCTACACGTAGATGTTAAAAGTTTAATTTGTATACTTTCTGGGCAATTTAAAAAACAAATAGGCTGTTGTGTGAGATAAATGGTGAGGGAAAGCAATCTTCTTCCAAAGATAAGAAAATACAGGTAAGGGCAGGAATTAGTATACCTGGAGCAATAGTTTCAGTGCTCCAAATGACATAAGTAACTTAGCTTGTTCTTTCTTCCACCTTTCTGGAGCAGGGATAAGAGTTAGCTGACCCCACTCCCTTAAGAATGGGGTGCCAAGTCAAGTGGTTAAGGGAACTGTCCAAGGACTGTCTTGGGAATGTCAGTCACTCCATAAAGACAATGGTGAGAAACAATCTTATTAACTATGAGACCTATACTTTATAACTATTTCAGTCAAGCTGCAATTAATAAACCCTACAAAATATATAAAAATTTTAAAAATGCTTTTGATTTTTTTTAAAGATCTCAACTTTCAAGCACAATGATCTGTTTCAAGTCCTAAAAGCAGAAAACCTAATGGAATTCAAGGACCAACTAGACACTACCCTGTAAAATCCTTGCCATCTAATCATGGTGAGAGTGCTTTGAGAAACTCGAAGCAATCAGATGGAGCTAAAGCAGAAAGACAATAAACTGTGTAGAGGTTAAGAGTAGAGATAGAGCCAGGGCTTTAGCTCAGTGGTTCTGTTACCTGCCTTGCAAGTACAAGGTCCTGAGTTTGATCCCCAGTACCAAAAAAAGAGAGAATACTGAGAATGCCAGAGAGCCACAGCAGCTTCCTCAGCTACATGGAGATGAGCCAGGGCAATCTTTAAAGGAGAATAAGTAAAGTAGAAATGCTACATAAATGACATATTGAAAACTGGGACAGATTAAATCAGGAGCTGGGGTAAAGAATGAAAACTAGATAAACATGGTAAACTCACAGCTTTCCAAATGAGAACTGCACTTAGCAGTCACATTAAGTGGCACCAAGAAGAAAAAGTCTTTAAAGAGACCACCAGCAAAGGAATGGCTAAATAAGGTCATTAGTTCAGTGAGTTGAAAGCGTTTAGTCAATTAGCAGAAAATGATCACAAATACGGTATAGTTAAGTAATGGAATCCGGAAAAATCTCAGCAAGGGTATTTAAAAAGTACTGAAGAATGGAGGACAGTACTCACTCCAATCTGACAGCTAAGAAGTTTTCACCAAGACTAAAACATAGGTGACAGTATCATATTGTTCACTGTATGAGGAATCAAAGCTTAAATTTTCAAATCAAAGTTATCATTAGAGATCTCCTCTACTAACTCTTCTGAATACTCTGCCCATTCTTGAAAAGACTAAAGGCACAGGGTTGTTTTAAATTATGGCCTAAAACATTTTAGGGTATACTTGTTTACAGGATGCTCAGAACAAATATTTATATGTAAGCAGAAGAGATGTGCTGAAATTTGAAAGTTTAAAACAGGAAAAAAAAAAAAAAAAAGCCACAGACAAGAAAAGTTCAAAATACTTTCAAATCATAAAACACATGAAGTGACAAGAGAAAGACCTTCTCTCCCCAATAAGTGAACTGAAGAGAGACGGAAAAGATACCCTTTTCAAAGGCCTTTAATGCCAAGAAATGGTTAAAAGACATATTACTCTCCTGGGGGCTCCAATTAACAAGTCCCTGGATTTCTCTTTCAAGTGCTTTGAGCCCAAGGCATTTAGTGACAAAAATGCATCGCTCTCCTTGAACTAAGGCCTCATATATTAAAATAGCAATATAGGAAAGACAGAAACAAGGAACTCAAAAGCCAGCTAAATACCTTTATGTATTACAATGCTGGAAAGCTTACTTCACAGAACAATTCTAAGCTTTAATGAAAAACAATTTGCTCCAGAAAGAGAATAGAATAAGTTTCTCATAGAAGTGGGGGAAAAAAAAAAAAAATCAATAAATTTGGTTAACAGAAATTTAGCACAGAATTCAACAATAAAAGATGAGCAGGTGCAAAGATCCCCTTTTAAGATCCCTACTTTTTATTTAACAGAAAACCTTGTTGCAAGCTGAGATGTTTCAAGAGTCTGAGGAGTCTTAGAGGAGAAAGATACAGTATGCCTGGCCTACAAGAAACCATAAGGAGGTTTGTTCAAGAAATTCTAGCAGATCAAGGGTCAAATATAATACCTGTAAAATCGTAAGTTCACTTAGCCCCTAACTCTAACATGGTATGCAGATATATTTTGAGCAATCATTTCTTAGACCACAAATCAGGGAAACACCAGAATGCAAAATTTCCCTGTTTGTATTGCTACCTAGCTAACAACCAAAAACACCTCCGATCTTCATCCCTATCAGGGTAATTCCTTTTTTGGGGAAGACTTTCTTAAAGAAGCCCAATACTGCTGCAGTTATGGTGGCCACTTAGCTGGTTGGGAAAATATGCCAAGAATTTAGTTTGTAAACAAGACCTAAAATGATTAGCCAAATACAAGCATAACACTTTTCACTTTTTTTTTTTTTTTTGGTACCGGGGATTGAACTTGGATCCTTATGCTTGCAAGGCAGGCAGTGGAACCACTGAGCTAAATCACTGGCCCCAAGCATAACACTTTAAAAAACTGTAATACATGGGGGCAAACTAGAAAACTAATTGGGAGGGGGAAAAACTAGTTGGAAAAGTCTACGCATAAGGGTACTTCAAATTCTACTCTCAGGGCTAACAAGTTTTAGGTGCTAACAGAATCCTACCAAGAGAACATCCCTGGACACTAACGCCTCAAAAGAAAGGAATCACGATGATCTTAAAGTTAGCACACATAAAAGCCAAAAAGTAGCTAAAAATAATCAAGGAATCAAATCTTACAGACTGGATCTTAGGCATACATTAATACAATCTATGAGAAACACATTAGGATTAAAAACAAAACAAAAAAACCAAACAGCCTTCCAACAAGCTATCTTAATCAGCATCTCCCAACCTTGTAAACACCAATAATCTCAGAACTTACTTGAGTAAAAGTAGAAATAACCACCAACTCCTGTATTTTACAAACTAGATGCAGTACAGTAAATTGAGAACAGCAGTATGCTAGATTTTGAGAGGTATGCACTAAACCTCTACAAGCCTTTTAAAATATAGAACCTATGTTGTTAGTAACCCTAAGTTGGACATTCACCATTTTTTAAAAGCAAAGTACGCATGTATGATGCTAGTTAAAACTCACTGACTCAATTTCAAAAGTCATATGTGATTACTGTCAGATTTTTTTCACCTTGGCAAAAGCACCTTCCCGGCTCTGCTGCCCCCAGCATTTTACCAAGCCCTTCTAATGAATCCAGTCTTCCTTCTACTGCTGGTCTCAGGATTAAATCCCCTCACCTACCAGGCACTCTTAAGACCCAAAGATGATCTGGCCAAGGAAGAAAACAAAAACGCAAGAAATGGCCCACTACAATCAACATTTTCAGCTGAAGTCTACAGCTTGGGCCATATAATCAGACTAATATTTTTGGACCTCAAGAATCCAAATAGTGTATCTATTAACATCACCTTTACCTCAGATATGTGCTTGCCTTTTAGGTAACTCAATACAAAACTTACATTATTCATGTCATTACTGGTTTATTCGTGGCAAGGATTTACAAAACAAATTGGTGCAAAAACTGTCGTAGGTATAATTTTCTATTTCCAAGACCAAAAAGCACAAGTTTCACACTGTGACCATAGGCCATAAATATAAAAAATGGATCCTTCAAGTTGGGCTAGGGATTTAGCTCAGAGGTGCTGTGCCTTCCTGGCAAGCACAATGTCCTGAGTTCAATTCCAGGTAGAGGGGTGAGTGTCATTTTGTTCATGGGGTTTAAGAATTGAGGTGTCACTTTAGGAAGAAGCGTGTAAGGTAATAATACCCATAGCATTCTCAATTGGAGCAGAAGGTAATTTTTGGGTGCCTGCTACTGGGTATTGTTGTGTGTGTCCCATCTTAATTGTGTGTAATACTACACCCATCAGCTATTCTATTTAGCTAAAATGAAACAGGAAAATGCAAATTTTGGGGACTGATTTTCTCAGCAAGCGGTAGGACTGATAAACCAGAGTAAAGCTGTTTTATAATCTCTCATTTTCATTGTAATTACTAAACACTGATAAAAGCAACTACCACTGCACCTTGAATTAGCTATCCTGTTCACTTGTATGAGCCCTCTTCTAAAGGAAACATTTCAGCAAAAAAAAAAAAAAAACAGCCATTCAGTTGAACAAGTATTAAACAGTAATTGTTTGGCACGTAGACATCTGAACATTAGAGGGCCTACACATCGATGGTCACAGCTTTCTACTACTACTGTCTAGAAAAAAGCCCAATGCTTTTAATTTCAAAAGTAACTACCCTAACTCAGTGCTTTGCTTGGATTTTGGGGGTTTGGGTCCATAATCATTCTGGTGACAATTTTCTAAAAAATTCTAACTACACATTGTTCAGCACAAAAGGAAAAATGGCCAGTGCATTTTAAGAGTCCAAGGGGAGTGGCACAAACCATCAGTTTCAATTTTGGAGGTACTCACTCATGCCCCAAAATTACCAAAGATACATGAGAGATCTAGGGGGACAACAGGAGGCCAACTATTACCCATGGTGGAGAGAGTTCACTATACTTGTTATTTGACTACAAAGGGTTATTTTTAAAGATTTGCATTTCAATCATTGGACTAAGCAGTTAAAATTAGAATTACCTAATTTAAACGTTTCCCTCGGAAGGCACTTCTTTACCCTGTATATATTTTCTTCTATTAAACAAATAATGCATGCATGTTTAGCAAAATATACAGGGACACATAAACAGACTAGTAATTACTTAGCGTAGTGCTTTCTGATTCCAGATTACTTCTTATCTTAACTTCATTTTTATTTCTTTTCTTCATTCTTCCGTTTCAAATTCTGACTTCTTTCATCTTCCCCACTTCACACAAATTGCTCAATATTCTATAAGTGGGACTTCTGGTCTGAAAATTAGCATGCATTCTTTCTTTTATTTTTTCA